CTCATCCCCTCTTGCCCATCCCTGGCCTGGGTCCTGCTGCATACCTGCACCACCTCGGGGCTCACGTTGAAGATGTACAGCCAGTCACTGAAGCGCGGGTAGCTGTTGAGCTCTGCAGTCCGGTCGCTCGGGGTCACGCTCAGCTTGCTCTGCCGCTGCTTGCAGATGTACCGCACCAGCTTTGCCTGTGGGAAGTCCAGCAAAGAAAAAGTCACCTTTACGGGGGGCACAAGCATGTGGCAGCCATGTGCCCTCTGGGGGATATGCTAAGAACAGACAGGGCAGGTCTGTGGGGAATCCCCTCGCTGTCATTCACGGTGAAGAAAGACTACAGAGAGGTAGAGGAGTTAGGAGGGGTCTGGTCACAAGCATGGAGCCCCATCCTCGATGAGGCCAGCCAACTGCACTGCCTTCAAAACCAGCCCTGCAACAGGAAAGGTCACGACTAGTCACAATAGGAGCAGGCTACACAGAAGCCAGCCTTCCTGTCTGAGGCACAGATATGGATAACTGATAACAAAGAAGGGGTCATGGAAGGAAGCTTGGAAAGATGGGGCAACCTTCCAACTGTGATTCAGACAGCCTGGGTTGGGGTAAAGGGTCTTCCCTTGTGTGCACTCAGACACACACACACACACACACACACACACACTCCCCTCCCTCGGATGATAACAATAGAGCCTCTCTCAGAGAGTTTAAGAGACAAGCTCTCAGCCCATGACTGCACAGAAAGGCACCAGCATGGTGGCTGTGACTGGGAGTGCTGGTAACAGCCCTTGACTGGAGTCTCCACACAGGCTATTGGGGATTTACACCCAAGGATATCGCAAATTCCAGACACGTGGATCCGAGTTTCCCAAGGGAAGAATGTCCAAAGTGTTCAAAAGACTCAAGGAAGATAAGCCTGAATAAGGACGGACTGACCTAGGTCAAGCACAGAGCTCTGACCAGCACGGATGAATACAGAGCAGAGGCAGGACACACAAGGAGCACAGAGAGAAGGATCTGCTTAAAAAGGAGGCTCACTCCAGCTCAGGCAATCCAGCAGGCTCCACAAAGGGGAAGGAAGATACCACCAACCAGAGACAACCAAGGAGAGCAGCTACCTGGTTTGACTAAGCCTGCAATATCCAGTGAATATGAGAATTTTGGAGACCAGACTCTGGAGCTACTGTAACTTTCAGTGTCCCCCACAAAGGGCAAGCCCCACCTAAAAGCTTGCCTGAACTAGGTAATACTGAACCAGAATATGGGACCCCCATAAGTAACACATTATTTCCCCTACCATGAAGGCAAGACCTGTATCCATCTCACCCATGTATTTCCACCCCACCTCCCCATGCCTGGTACTTCAAAGCAGGCCTACCCGTCAGATAGCTGTGTGAACTCAAAACTACCCTTTTCCACATTAACAAAAGAGGTAGCTAGGCTCCTAACGTTAACAGTATCATCAATAACAGCCATCCATCACAGTGAGGGGCCCACAGGCTGGACTTCTGGGGGATGATTAATAACACATGTTTTACGTAGGACTTTGGCTATGGCCAGCTGGTGCAGGGAAGCATCAGCCTGGCCTAGGCCTGGGTCAGCCTGTGGTCTCCAGTTCCACTTGTCCACCCTCCCCAAGCCATGTTCAGCCACTTGCTCATCTTTGTGCCATTGAACTTCTTGCCATGAATCCCTGGACTCAGGCTAGGCTTCCACACCCCTTCCTCCAGGAAGCCTCTAGGCCCTTGCCCAGATGACTCTCAGTCCTTCCAGCTTGTCTGGCTCTCTTCCTTTAGGTTACACGTTCTGCAAAGCCATAGGTCTACTCTGCATCTCTGATTACCATGAGATGCCCAGAAGACTGGCACACCGTTTAAAAAAGTAACTTCTCTCAACATGGCCTAGGTCTCACAGCTACACTCATTCCATACTCTACCATTGAGCTTTACCCTGGTCTCATCTGTTTTATAAAGATGTAGGAGTTCTGGGCTAAGTATCACAAAGCAGGCCATGGGCAGGGCTGTGTAATACTGCCGGTGGGGCCTGAGCTGAATGAGGAACGTGGCAAGTCCCTTGTGTGCTATGACTGCTGGCAACTCAGGGGTCCTGGAGCTGCTGTCTCCCGTGAACTTGCTCACTGAGGAGCAGTGCTCTAGCTTGCCCACATAAGCCGGCAGCAACTGGCACATGAGGGTCCCCATCACAGGGAGATGGAGCTGCTCTCACTTTTTGTGAAAGTTAGTGCAATCATGGAAGCACCAAATGGCCACTTTCTGAGATAAACCGCAGCAGAGCCTGCCAGCCACGCCCCAGGGGTGTGTGTGCCTGGGGACCTCTCATCGATGGTGTCATTTCCTCTTTGCCACAAAACCCACAAGATCTACATTTTCCGGAATTTAAAAGCACCCGAGGTTCCAGTGGGTTGGCTGACAGTGCCAGGAGTCGTTAGGATGCTGGCCACAGGCAGGGCCTCGGTCTGCCCACCTTGACAGTCATTTGCATCAAGAGTATGCGCCCCACTGGTCTCCACACAGCCAGGTTTACAGGGTGTAAAAGCTTTGGTGAGCCCACAAACAGGTTGGTAGGTGCTGTATACAGCAAGCACTCACTAAGCAGCCTGGACAGGAAGATCTACTTTCTGTTCAAAGCTTTGACAGTTAAGATCAAAGATCTTAGAGAAAAGCCCCAGGGGTTTAGCTTCAACCTGGGAAATACAAAGACAGTGGAGGCTGATACCGGTGAACCACCTATAAGAATATTTAGAATCACTAAGAAAAATGAAAGTCTCACAGTGTAACTGCAAGCTACTCAGGCCACCCCTGAAGACCACCATGAGGAAGACTGTTAGCTCTCCCCAGGTGGAACTGCCAAATGAACTAAGTCCTGTCCATTCAAAATATTGTAACTATGGGCTGGAGAGATGGCTCAGCAGTTAAGAGTGCGTAGGACCCTTGCAGAGGACCCGAGCTCAGTTCCTAGCACCCGTGCCAGGCGGCGAACAATTGCCTGTAACCCTAGCTCCAGAGGATCCCAGGCCTCTGACCTCTGAGGACAAGAGCACTCACATGCACATACCCGTTCCCCTGTGGAAAAACACATCTCAATAGGGTTGATCTATCCAAAAGGCTGAATTGTCTAGTCTGAGCCAGGGTAGTGGTGGGTACCTGTACTCCTAGCACTTGGGAGGAGACGGCAGAAAGACAAGAGTTCAACATCATTTTTGGCTGTATAGTAAATTTGGCACCTGCCTGAGCCACAGAAGACCCTGGAGGTGGGATGGGGGACCGCACCAAATAAATTGTGTGAGCAGGGAAATGCTTGCTCAGTGATAGTTAGTATCCTTGCCAGGTGGTCTTTAGGTCCTCTTTCATCACCTCAATGGCAAGGACTATACCAGTGGCTGCTTGCCCATCTCTGGAGTTGCCCATCTCTGGGGTAAGAGCTAAAGGCAATGAAATCTAATGCTAACCTCGGAATAATGCTTAGGATTATAGATCAGGAATGTCTAAGTATAGAGTGTGTTGTGATCTATGATCCTCTAATGTACAAATGTATTACTTCTGTGCATGTATGCACACCTGTGCTAACGGCCAAAGGTAGACCCTTTTCTTCAATTACTTCTTCGCTTTATTTTTTGAGACAGGGTCTCTCACTAACCCTGGAGCTCACTGACTCAGCTGGGCTGGCTAGACAGCGAGCTAGGGAGATTCACTGATCCCTGCTTTCCCTTGAGCACTGGGGTTCCAGAAGTACACCACTGGATCCAGTTTTTACAGAGGTGCCAGGGATCCAAGTTCACCAAGTGCTTTGCTTACTGAGCCGTTTTTCCAGATCCAGGTTCATTTACTTTCAAAAGTAGGAAGGCCAATATCTAGGTTTGCCCAGGTACCTCTGGTCTTTGCTCTCTCCTCTATTCTTGGTGCCAGATAGCACAACCACCCTGGGATGGCATCGATTCTGGGAATGCTGCTTGTCCAGGTAAGTATCTATACATGAGAATTGTGATCAAGCTCACAGGTTACCTGCTATACCCTCGCTGCTCCAGGCATGACCCAGACTCAAGCCTCCCAAAGAGAAGACACCAAGAATAAATGAATCTTATATGAACCCCATAGGGTGTCTAGCAGATGTCATGGCCAATTTTGGGGCCATGCTGATCTGGAAGTTGGAGATCTTCTGAGGCTATTATTAAGACACTCATGGGCTTTGCACAGAATGGCTGGCTGCAGGGCAGCCATTGTTGGGGGACTGGCTGATGTCAGATGGAAAAACATACTACTCACATGCAAGGATGCTCAAAAGCCTCCTGTTTATCTCCAATATCCAATCTACCTGGTTATGGCTCTTGCTCCATCCTCTGAGGGAGGCACTAGGTAAGGCAGACCTCAGCGCCATACCACCGCCCACATGGCACCAACTAGATCAGTTTCCTGTCTGTCTGCTCTGTTCCCTGTGCACTCCTCTGCCAGTGCTCTCTCCAATACCCAGGACATGGCAGGTGCTCAAGAAACAGGAGCCTGTGAGTATCACACTCTAGCTCAGCTGGCAAGAACACCTCAGTGCACAGGGGCATATGGACCGCTGGTGTATGTCATCTAAGCCATACCTTGTACCTCCACAAAAAGCACCTCTTTCCAGAGAGGTGACTCTGCAAATGACGTCAGCTCCACCCTAAAGTTGCAGGGCCGGGGATTGTGAGGTCCCTTCTGTAGAAGACTTAGAAACTGGGGATCTGAACTAGGGAAGTGACTCAGACGTTGCCTGTTGCAGGGCAACTCTGTGGCCCAAGTCTCCATTCCAAATGCAGGGCAGGAGACTAAGTCTATGGAAGCAGGTATAATACACAGGGGCCAATGGATGCCAGGAACAGGATGAGGCAGACACCAGAGTTGTACAGAGGCAGGCCCCCTGGATTATGAAAACCATGAAATTGTGTTGGTGCTCAATTACAAACCTGGCAGTAGGAACTGCGTCCCCATTTGTGAAGTGCCTAACTCCTTCTCTTCCTGGATTCTCAATGGCAAATTTGGAGGTAGGGATCTTTTTTTAGAGTAATGTTCCAGTCATCGTACAACTCCAGACCTAGACATATCTGGGGAGCGTCTTTCCCCTCACAAAATAAGCACATGAAACCAAGACATTACAGACTCTTACATGTTAAAAAGATTCAAGCCGGGCAGCAGTGGCACAGGCCTTT